TCTGTGTGTGACGGGGTGGAGCCTGCAACCTCCCCATCGGCCCTGCCCTGAGTGTGACGGGGGAGTGCCTCAACCCCCTGATCCGCCCTGCTCTGTGCGTGACAGGGGGTGGCGCCGCAACCTCCCCATCGACCTTGCCTTGAGTGTGATGGGGCAGCGCCCCAACCCCCCAATCGGCCCTACCCTGAGCGTGACTGAGGGTGGCATCGCAGCCTCCTGATCCGCCCTGCTCTGTGCATGACGGGGCAGCTCCCAACCCCCTGATCGGCCCTGCTCTGTGGGTGACAGGGTACAGAGAGCCCCAACCCCCCTGATGGGCCCTGCTCTGTGCGTGACAGGGGGCAGCACCCCAACCCCCTGATCAGCTGGCTCTGTATGTGACAGGGGTGGCGCCACAACCCCCAATCAGCCCTGCTCTGAGCCCAACCAGGGGCTGCGGGGCAGGCACCTAGGGATTGGGCCTGCCCTCTGCCACCCGGGAGCGGGCCTAAGCCAGCAGGTCATTATCTCCTGAGGGGTCCCAGACTGTGAGAGGGCACAAGTGGGGCTGAGGGATACCCCCCCCCCGCCAGTGCACAAATTTTTGTGCACCGGGCCTCTAATTATGTATATAAAAGGTTAAGTGACCGGCCAACCGGCCAGTAGGTATGGCGCGCACTGACCACCAGGGGGCAGGTGCTCAACGCAGGAGCTGCCAAGCAACAGCAACTTTGTAGAGTGCCCTCTTGCACTCCAGGACCCCTCGGGGGATGTCAGACTGCTGGTTTCGGCCTGATCCCCACAGGCCAGGCCAAGGGACCCCAACTGCCGGAGGGACCCCACTCACTCCGCAGATGCCCTTCGAGCACTGGTGCTGCCTCAGGTGCGGCCAGCCAGGGTGGGACCACGGGAGGTTGGCTCCAGGGTGTGTCCAGCCTCTCTCACCCAGTCCCGCCCCACCAGCCACCTTCTAATTAATTTCCTTTCAATGTGCAGGAATCTGTGCAGCAGGCCTCTAGTGTCTATATATTTGTATCTCCCCTTCTTTCCCTACACAAAAAGCAGCAGACTGTGCACACTAATTTGCAGTTTGCTACTTTTGTGTAGAGAAAGAAGGGGAGGTACAAATATATAGACATATTTGTATCCTGAAGATTACTATGCCAATAAAGATCTTTCTTATTTTTTAAAACTTGCATAGTACTCCATCGTTTATTTAATCAGTTATCTATAGTAGGATATATGATAGGATATCAAGTTTTGCTACCTGTATTAGTGTGGTAATGAATATTCTTGTTTCATGTATAATTTTATATATTTGCTATTATATCTTTGGGAGCTCATAGGAGATTTTTTATCAGGTGTGTGTTATAAAAGCATTGTTAGGGAAGATTAAACTAGAAATGGAATACATATTTGGATATGAGTAGGATTAGGTGACTAAAAATTTAGAAGTTGTAACTGTCCTCAACACTAAGGTGATAACTGCCTGGATTTTTATTACTGCGGTAGTATTTTGTATGCACATTTCCTGCTGACCCAGGGGTAAATTGCTTCATCTGCTTCCCTCCTTCTTTATTTCTAGTCATGTTTCCCCCATTGACTCTCCTGGATGTGGTCTCTTCATTTTCTCTGCATATACTCTTCATCTCCCTCCATTTGCCTCTCTTTGCCAATCATCTCATGAGTCAATTCCACTTATTCATTGAAGCCATGCCTTTTGCCTTCATTAACTCTTACCTGTTACAGAACTGCCTTTTCATTGAGCACAGAAAATGAAAGCGATTTGCATTTTCAATTTTTTTCAGACTCAGAGAGTAGACCTGAGAGTAAAGATTCAACTTCAGTGCAAGATTTTTCCAAAGAAGCATCATGCCAGGTTGCAATAATAGACAGACTGACAGGAAATAGTGTCTATGATACCAACTTGAAAACAACTCTTGAATGTGAAAATTTGTTAGAGAATCAGCAAGGAAATCAGGGGAGACACTTGAGAGAAATGTTCACATACATTAATTCACTCCCTGAAGAAAGGGCTCATGATCATGATGTATATTGGAAAAACTTTAGTCAGAAGTCTGTCCTTCTCACTCAAGACAGAATTCCAAAAGGATCCTATGCCTTTCATACACTTGAAAAGAGATTGAAACAGAAATCAAGTTTAAGGAAAAAGCAGAGAACCTATAAAGAGAAAAAACCTCATAAATGTAATGATTGTGGTGAACTGTTCACTTACCATTCAGTGCTTATTCGACACCAGAGAGTCCATACTGGAGAGAAACCCTATAGCTGCGATGAATGTGGGAAATCTTTTAGCCACAGAGCTAATTTAACTAAACATCAGAGAACTCATACTAGAATTCTCTTTGAGTGCAATGAATGCAAGAAAGCCTTTACAGAAAGCTCGTCCCTTGCAATACATCAGAGAATTCACATTGGAGAGAGACCTTATGAATGTAGTGAATGTGGGAAAGGATTTAATCGAAGTACACATCTTGTACAGCATCAGTTGATCCATACTGGAGTGAAGCCTTACGAATGTAATGAATGTGATAAAGCTTTCATTCATTCCTCAGCACTCATCAAACATCAAAGAACTCATACTGGAGAGAAACCCTATAAATGTCAGGAATGTGGGAAAGCTTTTAGCCATTGCTCATCCCTGACTAAACATCAGAGAGTTCATACTGGAGAAAAGCCATATGAATGTAGTGAATGTGGAAAAACCTTTAGTCAGAGCACACATCTTGTTCAACATCAAAGAATTCATACTGGAGAGAAACCCTATGAGTGTAACGAATGTGGGAAAACCTTCAGCCGGAGTTCAAATTTTGCTAAACATCAAAGAATTCATATTGGAAAGAAACCATACAAATGTAATGAATGTGGTAAAGCTTTTATTCATTCATCAGCTCTTATTCAACACCAGAGAACTCATACTGGAGAGAAACCCTATAGATGTAATGAATGTGGGAAAAGCTTTAAGTGCAGTTCATCCCTCATCAGACATCAAAGAATCCATACACAAGAGCAACCCTGAAAAATTATTAAATGTGAAGAAATGTAAGTTGGTTTTATCACTGTGTTAAATTCAAGAGTGTTTAGGTGAAAGAGCCTTAAAATGCTGCTTACAGACCAATTTGTATACATCTGATTTTATTTGCATAGTACGTACATATTTTTGAGCCATAAACAAAATGTTCCTTATATCCATTGATTTAATAATTATGAAAGCTACTAACCAGAGACTTCATATTTTGAACCCTAATCTTTCCCTAATACCTTTTTGTGGATATTCAAGAAATCCTTAGGAATGGGTAGCAATATAATCATTGTAGAATCCATTTTCTCCCTCTTTGTAAGGAAGTTCTTATTTGTTAGGTTAGGCAGAGGGTTCATATCCTTATCAGGAAGATACAGAGTTGTTCCTCTTTGAATCCAAAAATAGAGATCCAGATTTATCGATAGTGTCATTTTTCCAGTGTCATTTCCTTTATATTAGCTATAAAAAGCTAAAGGTTAAGAGTTGAAATATGCTTTGTATTCCTTCTCTACCCCAAAGGCTAATCTCAAATTTGATGAACATAAAAAGAATTTATTTACAGCAGATTCTAAGTTAGATTCACATGGATTCTGCTTGTAGACTTACTGGTAGATAATTGTGGTCATTCTGCTGTGTAGAACTTCATTTTCTACTTGCTTGGAAGTTGCCCTGAAATAGAATGGATCATAATCTTAACTCTAGTTTTTCATCAAATCCTTCTTTGGCATTCACTGAATGAATCATTGGTTTTCTATAATTACAGTATTAGGGATATTTTGTTCTTTACATTCTGCTTTCTGTAAACTATGCTTTGTCACTTTGAGAAAAAGCCACAAGGATGTTGAGGGTCTGAAAAGTTGATGGGTTCAATGTGTTATGTTTAGGATCCCAGTCAAGAAACATAACTGAAGCACCTGTGAGACGCAAGGACATATCTTTCTGTCAGATATGGAAAATCGCTCACAGGACAATGACTCACTTGAGGATAAACAGCTTTCCTCTATGAAGAAGTTGGCCATTTCTCTGACCTTCATGTTTACCCACATGGTTTGTTCCTATTCTCTCTACATGATGTATCCCAGAATCCTAAAGAAAATTGAAATGGCATGAAATCACATGATAAATTGACATACTTACATGGTTGACCAAAGACCACTAATGGGATAAGGAACACAAAAGCACTCAAATATCTAGCAAAACACTATACAAATGTCAGGTTTTTTTGTTACTCTGTTACATATTGTGTGAAAAGAATATTTTAAAGTAGAGGAAAAAGTAATTACAGATTTCTTCTTCCCTTCTAAATTCTTTTATGAACATTCATCACCACCAATCCATATTTTGCCCCCTCCAAATTATCCCTGTGATGTGTAATTGCCTCTCTGTAGACTTCTATTATTGAAGAAGAATAGGAGAATAAAATTTTAAAAAGTGGTGGTAGTAGAGAGCAAGATCATTAAGGATGGATTGAGCATAAATCCAGCAATGATGGATATCAAACAATATGAAAGAAATGAGGCAGAAAAATTCTTGTAAAGAATTTTAAAAACATTGAAAGGGGTTGAGAAGATTGGGAAGGCTCAAGGTCTCAGAGGTCAGGGTAGGAGAATGGCTGATGAGCAAAATAAAGGAAAGGGAGCTCAACCCTTTTCATCACTTTAATATTCAATATTGATCTAAAGCAGGAATTGACAAACTGGCCTGCACCCACAGACCAAGTTCATCTGCTATTTCTGTGAATGTTTAATTGGAATACAGCCACACACATTCATTTACATGTTTTGTTTGGCTATTTTATACTATAATGGCAGAGTTGAGTAGTTGCAGCAGAGAGCACATATCCTGAAAAATCTTAAAATACTTGCTATTTCTCAATATGCCAAATGCTTGAGTGAAAAATATATGCATCATTTGGGGGCCAAAATTTGACTAACAAAATAACATCAACATGGGCTTTTCAAAGCTGGGTTTTAATTCTGCCATCTCTTTCTAGAATTATGTGGCCTTGAAAAGGACCTGGAACAATAAATTATATAGAGTCTCCTCTCTCCCTCTACCATATCCTCTCTCGATATGTGTACACACACACACACATATTTTAATGAAGTGATGTCTTAGTTCATTTGGGCTGCTATACAACATTCAATTATTACAGTTCTAGAAACTAGGAAGTCCAAGCTCAAGGCCCTGGCAGATTCGGTGTCTGGTGTGAAAGGGCAGGGGGAGCTCTGGGGCCTCTTTTATAAGGGTACTGACCCCATTCATGAGAGCTCTGCCATCATAACCTAATTACCTTTTAAAGGCCCCCATCTCCTAATACCATCACTTTGGGGTTAGGTTTTAATGTGAATTTTTGAGGGGACACAGACATTCAGTCTAGAGCAAGTAGCTAAGCATCCATCAGAAATTAAGAATGAGCATCTCCCACCCCTTCCATTTGCTGATTAAGAACTGTATGCATCCTGCTATCAGCTCATGATAGAGAAGGGGCTTCACTTTCTACTCTTGCTTCTATCTGGTACTGGACCTACACACTCCCCTTTAGACCTGGAGGAATCTGCTTTTTTGCCTTCTGAGTACCACTTAGCCAGGAGCTATCTGGTAGTTCCAAAGACTCAAGTTTGTAATGTAAAGGCAGTTTAAGTGATGTTAAAGGATTTGCTCTGTTTTACTGAGAACTCTGGCTCTTTGCATTTCAGTGTTTGTTCTTTTTATACCTGGTGTTCAATCTGACTGTGTTTGTACCTTAACATGAATCTCGGAAGTTTTAGCAATCTGATTTTCAAATATTTTTTGTTACCTATAAACTAAATTTGACTGCTCTTATTGGCCCACTGTCAATAAAGATGTTTATATATTTATTGTCAGAAACTTTTGTAAATTGCTTTTAAATTCTCCTAATTTAATCATATTTTAAGAGATAAAGAAAGGCCAACCATAAAATGTACCCATATTATTCAGGAAACCAATTAAATTTCTAATTGTTCATCTGGGCTTCACAGCTTCTGCAGACATAGATCCGGGAATACCCACCACAGCCCACGTATTTGCTGGAAGGTTAAAGAGTAGAGGAAGGATGTTTTTGTCAGAGTCTTCGGGCCAAGTACAGGCACCACACAGCAGGGGTAATAGGAGGAAAAGAGAGAGAAAAATTAATTTCATATAAAAAATACAGTTAAAACTAGGCAAGATAGGGTAAAAAACTGATTTAGTGTAAATTTTAAATTACATCTGGCTTTTAAGAAGATAGTGTAATGTCACCCAAACTAATAAAAATGGTAGTATAAGAATACCAAACATTCAAATTGTTGGCAATTAACTAATTCAATTATCTATTAAAATTGTTTTATTTTCTCAGATGAGTTTTCACTTTTTAAAGAAATATTACAATAGGACTTGGGTTGGAAGCTCTTTTTCCCTGCTTTCTCCCTTTCCTTACCTAATTCTTTTTTAGGCCCCAACTGGGCAGTCTTGGGATCCAGAGCCAAATGATCTATCCCTCACCCTTTGCCTTATATTAATTGTCAAGGCAAAGGGTGTTCTGTGATGTATAATGTGACATCTATTTGATTACCTTGTAGTTCCAATTAATGTCCTCAAAAAATTAAATTTTTTCCTTGAATTGTTCTTTACATTTTCCAAAGTGTGTAATCTCTTATTTTTTAACCTTTCACTTAGCAGGGGTAATAGCAGGTTCATCCATAAACCAGACAATCTGCCTTAGATTGAGTTGACTGTACATAAAATGTACATACCTCACCCCCAACAGTTCATCCATAGTACATTATCATCACGTCAGAAAAGGAACCAGGCTTCCTCAGAGAAATGGCTGATCCTAAGTCTGAGTGAAGGCAGTTGCAATAAGAGCCTGAAACATCATGTTCCAGAAAATAAGGTGGTACTAAAAGAATGATGACAGTAGGTCACAGAGGCAAAGGAGCCAATTTGAACTAGCCTTCACTAACCAAGTCTGGGATAATTTGAGCACCAAAACAGTTAAGGCAGTAATGAATTATTAAACCAGTGTGGGGGGGAGGGGAGGAGCAGTGCATGAGTTTACATTGATAATTAGAAGTAAATAAACAAGGGAGAATAGAGGGCCCTTACTTACAGCAGAATGCCAGATGGAAACTGGTAAAAAAAATGATGCTGAAAAATCACTATTTTGCAGCCATCACAATAAGATTCTGACAAAAATCATCAATCGTTATAAATCTAAGGGGAAATTTTGATGAGGAACAGGATATTTGCATAGTTTTGAGGTATCTTCACCATAGATTGCTTGTTACAATTGACAATTGCAAGGAAAAAATAATTATGCAGTAATAATTTTTAAATATTATATAATAGCCCTGGCTAGTGTGGCTCAGTTGGTTGGAGTGTTGTTCTGTACACCATAAAGTGGTGGGTTTAATTCCCGATCAGGGCACATACTGGGGTTGCAGGTTCAATACCCGGTCTGGTCACATATGGGAGGCAATCAATCTCTCTCTTGTCTTTCTCTCTCTCTTCCTCTCTCAAATCAATAAAAATATATCCTCGGATGAAGATTTGTTATAGCCAAAGGTGATCCTGAGTTGGGGGCGGTGAAAGGATTGAGAAAAGACAGACAAGAGAATGAAAGCTGGATCTCGGTGGGACACTGCTCCCTGATGAGGAGGCAGCGCCAGCGCCCACAAGCCGTGTCTTTATTTTATAGCAGATGCCACGAGGCAAAGTAGAGGCATGATCAAGTTGTTTACAGCATTCTCATGAGTTTCAACCCTACTCAACTACATGCACCTGAACTCTAGCACAAGGCACGTGGGGCCACGTGTTTGGACAACCACAGCCGTTGGCTATAATTGTGCTGGGAGGGCCGTGCCCTCCAGCTGGGACTTGCACGTGGCAATGAGAGGACCCTGTCCTTTCATTAGTCCGAGGCTTGAACCTGGCCAAAACA